TTTTTCGACATTAAATTGGAGTTGCCAGGTGTCACACCATCTATCCATTTTTTCTAATTCTTGCTGTATGGCGTTTACTGTTATTCCAAGATCTGTGTTCTTGCATTTATACGTCACTTTTAAGTCATCTGCATATAGTATTGGTTTACCTACACTAAAGCATTCACAGATACTGTTTATATATATTATGAATAAGAGTGGGCCTAATACACTTCCCTGGATTACACCACTACTTACTGGTTTAGGCCTTGAGATTATCGAGCCAACTTTCGTTGTCTGACTTCGGCCACAGAGAAATGATTTTATCCAGCTCAGGAGAGGATCACATATCCCTAGTGAGCATAACCTGCTGACTAGCAGATTATGGGGGACTCTGTCGAAGGCTTTTGTTATATCGAAATATAGTACAATTACTAGTTCTCTGTTGTCCCTACTTCGTGTAACTTCGTTGAAAAAGTCTATGTGACAGGTCACACATGATCTTTTTTTAAGAAATCCGTGTTGTGATGGATTGATAAGTTCATGTTCTAGTAAGTTGTCTGACACTTGGTCTTTAACCACTTTCTCCATTATTCGGGATATTACCGGTGTTATATTGATAGGTCTATAGTTGCATACACTGGTTTTGGCCCCTGATTTGTGCTTAGGTAATATGTATGTGGTTTTCCACACTTCAGGATAAGTTCCAGTTTCCAACGAGAGAGTAAATATTCTAAGTAACAAGACTACCATTTCCGTGCTACCATTTTTGTACATGACAGATGGTATGTCATCTGTTCCAGTACTACCATTAGACTTCAAAGTCTTAATCGCTGAGTCTATATTTTGTATATTAAAGTCTATTCCGCCTAATTTGTGGTTGCTTTTGCAGGTCATTTGGAAATTTTGGGTCGGGTGCACTCTGGTGTCATTGCAAAACCACTCACTGAGGAGTTCACTCATAACCTGGGGATCATTGTATATTATACCCTTATGCTCCAAGCTGCTTACAGTATTGTCTTTACTGCTTTTTAGACGTTTCTGCAATATCCTACAAAGTTCCTGAGTTTTGGAGTTGCCCACAAGCGCTTTATTTTCTTCAAGTTGTGACCTCATTTTGTGTTTCTCTTCAAGCAGTTTAAGAGTTTCATGTATTTGGTTTAACGCATTAAATTCCTTAAATACATGGTATTTCCTTTTCAATTTCTTTAGTTTTAGTCGCGTTTTGCGGTCTATAAATGGAGTTGGTGTCTTTAGAGCAGATTTTAGGGGCGCGATTATGTCTCTTGCTGAGCCAATTGTTTTGTAGAAAATATCAAGTGATACTTCTAAGTTATTGTTGATGAAGTATTCTTCCCAGTCAGAACTTCTCAGCAGATCTGATAGGAATTCCCAATCGGCATTCTTATAGTCCCTATACTGATAGTGCACCGGGGAATTTTTAGGTGTGTGCTTAGTTGTTAGTCGGAATGGTAGCGTGCAGTACAATATGTTGTGATCACTGTTATCAAGTTTATTTCCTACCTCTATCGAGATGGGCTCAATTTCATGACAAAGGATTAAGTCAAGAGTGTTTTCATTTCTTGTAGGGAGGCGTACGCACTGCTTCCATCCGCCTACGTCTATAGCTTGTAGTAGCTCGTCATGGATTCTAGGTCCTGTACAGGTGTCCTAGTTTACTCCAGGTAAGTTGAAATCGCCACAGACTACTTTGTAGTCAAAGTCCAGCGTAGCTGCATGCTCTAATATTTCTCCAATAGCTATATCAGTCATTTCAGGGCTATTAGGGGGTCTGTATATACATCCCACGAGAATTTTATTTTCGTTTGTGTGGATGCTTATCCACTTAGATTCAGGGAGTTTGTCAGTAGTTGGGTTATTGAAAGTATTGGTGTTAGTGGATTTAGAGGCATATATTAAGCAGCCGCCTCCTCTTTTATCAACTCTATCGTTCCTATAGATGTCGTAGTTGTTTATTACTAGCTTTGAGTCAGGTATATCAGTAGTAAGCCAGGTTTCAGTCACCATTATTAGTGTTGGCCGTTCTATGTATGCCAGGCAGCGAAGCGATGTTATTTTGTTAAGGAGAGATCTAGCATTCAGGAGCATAATCGTTAGTAAACCAGAGTTATTGGGGGAGAGGTTAACATGGTTACTTGTTACTATTCCTATGTTATGTTTGGAGGGGCTCTGAGGTGAGACAAAGTCAGTGTGGGCACTATTTCCTGGATGAATTGTGCAGCGAGTGGGGCTATTGTTTGCTGCATCCGAAAATAATCCTGTTGCATGTTTTGACTTTTAGCATCCATGGGTGGGCATCTGCGTTCATTTACTGCTGATATATAGTTTGCTTGACCTAGGTACCCTGTGTTAAGATTACCTTGGTAGTTGTACCTCATGGATCTTTCATAGTCGTATGCACATTGGCTCACATCAAATGTGTGAGTGAAGTTATTGAGAGGGTCATGTGTCGATCTATACTCATTATGTTGCTGAGGTTCAACATAGATAGTGTGAGAGTTTGGACAAGAATATGCATTAATATGGTGCCTATATGAGCCCCGTTTAGTGCTCCTTATATCCTGATGATCCGTTCTACGTTGCATTCCCAAGTTATGTGCGTTGCTAGGCATATTACTCCTGGTTCGGGAAGGGGTGTTCTCATTCACATGATGGATGACTTTTTTGGGAATATGGTTTTTTACCCATGCATTGTCTTTTTTTAGACTGACATGTTGCTTATTAGACTTATTGAGAGGGAGGTATGTCGAAGTCTGGAGTGGGACTCTAGGCTTTGTCGTCTTTCTTGCAGTTTCTACTGCGGGACTCTCGGGCTTGCATCCAGATTGAGTGTGGTCTGCCAGTGGTTTCTGGTCAGACATAGTTTGTGAGTCAATATCAACCTCATGTATGTCAGCAGGTTTTCCAGATATCCTCTCATGTACTTTAGGATTGCACCCAGTGACACTGCTCTTACTGAGTTTCGAGTCGCTTTTACTTGCCGATTTTTTTTCCAACACTATACAGGTGACTTGCTGTGCTTCAGTGTCCGTTGACACTTTAGCACTGATACCAGGTGTAGTTCTCGGTGTGGTCGACTTTCTATCGAAGGAGTTCTTGGTTGCTTGCCTTTGGTTAGTTGTTTTATCCGAGACTACTTTAATAGTCTTGAATTTAGTGGCAGTAGCCAGAAGATCTTCGGCCTTCTTAAATCGTTCAGCTATTATGTAGCTGTCGAACCTAAAGAGTATAGGACAGGGATGCTTTAGGTCTTTCTTACTTAGGCGAATGCACTGACAAGGTGCACTCAAGAGATTTGCAGCCTTCAGCAATGAGTGCTGGACCGACTTAATGGGCTCGCTATCTGGTACATTATACACTATAGCGTTTTGTTTCGAAGCCAGCCTTTTAACAACTTCGCTGGATAGAAAGTCAATGGCGTTTTCTAGCTCCTTCGCATTTTCTGAGTCAGTAGGCGTCATTCTAGAGGTCATATTAAAAAGCTTTAGGATTGTAGGATCCTGCAGTTCCTTTTTCATAAGTGAGATTGTTTCGGGTATACATTCAAATGAACTTAATTTCGTTTTTAATTCATCAATCTGTAGCTGCATCTCTTTAATAATGCATGTTAAGTAAGAGAGCTCTACTTTTTCAGACAGAACATCTTCCACCTGTATTACAGGGGTCAGAGTTATGTTCGAGTCTTTTCTGTTGGGTGAACTACTAATAATAAGGGGTGGTAATGTGTTATTAGACGAGCTGGTGCTATTTTCTAAATTAGTGGTGTTCACACGAACACTCTTTTTAGAATTTCGGCCCATCGTTATTAAAGATCAATCAACAGTAAGCAATAAATGAATATAAACGAAAACACGTGCAAAAAGCGTCACCTGGTTCGAACGTACCGGGCAAGATAGTTCTGGAATCGACCTCGGCCCCATTTGATGCAGTAAAACAATCCAACATGACCTTATCTAGTTTTCGTATCCACGATCAAATTTCTTTCCTATTATAAAACTGCGAATAGAGTGCTGAAAAAATGGAATAAATACATCACTGACGTCAAAATAATACATCAATAGACTTTGACTCAAGGATGCTGTTCACAACAAAGTTATATGGGAGAATTGAATTCAAGCTTTATTTTTCCCAGATCATTGTATTACATTCATCTGATATCTGGGATTTTGTTAATGCGAAGACAATATTTCTATATCTCTTTATGTTTTACACAGACAGAATATTCAGCAGACTGTTCCGACTGACTCTAATGTCAGAAAGAACAACCAAACTGTAAATTCAACATACATCGAAATATGTGTAATTTATAATAAAAATATATATTTCGTATATACGGGTAAGTTTACATATAATAACTTGTCCATGCCTGTACAATTGGTATGTTCCTGCATAAACAGGAATAAATATGTATATTATATTATACATCTTCACACTACCATTCCGGTCCCGAAATACACTTCGCAATTTCGGTGATTGATTCGGCGCTTTAATTTGTCTTTGGTCTACGCGGAAAGAATACTATAGAAGCTGTGGGTATAAGACCTTGCGCCAGTATACTATGTACACTGTTAACACCCTCAGCATTTGAAGGCCTAATTATCGTCGTTGTGTGAGCCTAGTGAAGTCGGATGCTGGTTTCCCTTGAAGATAAGGTGGTTTATAATGGTTATGGGCGCATACATTTGATATTCAACTTTGGGGACACTTGGTGGAAGCATGCACAGCTACTTGCAGGCGATTTTAAACCTTGTGTCTGCGTTTTCCGTTATTAATAGTGCAACACTGATATTTTTCCGCAACTCTCGGCGCTATGTGTGTAGATCTTAGGTAGCTAGCCTTCTTACAAGTTTCGTTGGCCTGCATATAGATTCCAATTCAGGATAACGATGATCTTCTTTCTCGTGTTGCACGATTCCAAGAGAAACGTCCCGTGTGGTACATTGTAGTAGGCTTTTGCTATGCCTGAAAATAACCGGTGTGCAAGAATATCCTCCCTTAATATGGTGCTTATATCCATGTCAAATGGTTTATTGGATACGTTGCACAATAAAACAGAATTACCTACTTGGTCTGGTAAACAACACTTTGTTGTGCGATATATCAAATAATTAATGTAATGGGAAGTCGCATGCAAACACAAAATCGAAGTCTCATGCATATGCTGTTCATATGTATTAAGCTCTCAGCAAATGAGTAACACAGTAACTACTATTTCCGAAACCGTGTTTATCCTCAGACGAGATGTTATTTTTCTTTACATGTTGAATGACGGGATAGTTCAAATTTCTATGGGCTTTTTTTATGTTGTCAGCAGAGTTTCAAATCGATCGGTATTGGACATATGAAGGTGGACTCCAAGTCTCTCGGCATCTGATGCCCTGTTTGTTCAGGAACAGTGGTCCAGTTCAGAGAAGTTGTTCAGGCTGTACAGAGGTGTCTACGCACATCAGTGTTAGCCACCCCTATAAAGAGTTAGGCTAGGCTCTGCCGAAGAGGCTGAAAGAATACTATTTCTGCTTGAGGTACTAGCTATCGACTGGAGTTCTATCAAAAGAGTGAGACGTGATAAGCCACTGGCTAATAGGTGGATGGTGATGGAGTCGTCGAAACTGACGCCTTCTACCTATATGGTCGTGCATGGTGTTCCGGAGCTGGAAACTGGCATTGCTTGTGAAAAACAGATGCATGGCGTGCAGTAATGGAGATGGCTGTCATCTCAGGTGGCCCTTGGTGCTTCTAAAGCAATCTCAATTTTCCGACTACCTCGCGCCGCTTATCTCACACTGATTAGTTCGAGAAGACTGCTAAGTGTCAAATTCAACTCCCAGTAACGGGAGTACGAAACCAAGGGGAAAACAGGGGGGCACATCCGATGCTGTGAAAGTAGACCTCGAACCATAAAAAGGCAGCAAACTGAGGCCTTAATGTGTCACCAGGCCTCAGTGACACCAGAGCGATGCGGCAGTGAGAGTATCAGTCAGTATCACCCAAGTGTCCTACCCGAATCCAAGGGAAAAAACGACAACGGGCCGGTTCCATCGGAATCGGCCAACTAGTCCTGATATTAAGTCCCCTTCCAGTAGACGACGTAAAGTCAACTACCCCACTACACACTGAGGTTGTGAGATTCACTGTCAGCTGTTTACAAAGCAGTGTGAGAGGGCTGTGAGGAGTATTAGGTGAACCCAGAAACTTTCAGTCACACCTACACCTTAAAATAATCATTCTCACTGAAACCTGGCTAACCCTCAATATCGACTATGAAATCAGTGTAGAAGATATGGTTCTGGTCATGAGAGATAGGAGAGATGCCATATACTTTGACAAGCAACTTAAATGTGTATGTGCAATGGACCCACCACTTACTGAACTCCCAGATTCCCCATAGTATCATTTCACCGTAAGCCCCACCAAGCACTTACTGGGTGGCATCTACCGTTCATCCACCTGTGGGGCGGAGCGCAACCGGCTACTGCTCAGCACCATCACAGGGATACGGGATTAGGGCTATGACCAAGTCACCATAGCATGAGATTTCAATGCCCCATCACTGAACCTTGGCTCAGGGTATGCTCAGGGAAAATTTGGTCGAAATCCACTGCAAACAGTTCGAAATGCAGGACTGACTGAGAGTCTGGGTGGGGTCCTAGTGGAAAGTCATCGAAACTAGATTATATTCTAACTAGTGACCAACTATTTGTCGAAAAGCTTCAGGTCGTGACTTATCTGGGAAGTAGCGACCAAACAGTGATAGGATTAGATCTTGTTCTCCGTGAGCACTTGCAGTGGGAGACTACGCGACCATGTCTATAGCAAGGCGGACTATGCTGAAATGCGGAGGCTTTTGTCCGACACAGAATGACCCTTACCGTAGGATGAGTTATCTGTGGATGAACACTGGGAAGTAATAAAAGAGATTATTCACACAGCAATCTCGGATACCGTCCCGTTAGTTGCGACACAGCCTAAAAATGGACATCATGGCTGAAGAGAGGTACGCAACGTATTCTGTAAGCAAGGTGGAGGGCTTGGTTTACATGGCGAGTATCCAAGAGTCAGACCGACATCGACGCATACCTGGAACTCAGGAACTGACGCAACGTGAGAGTCAGGAGTGACAAGACGTCATTTCAGGGTAACCTCGCCACAAAACTCCTGGCGAAACCCAAAAGCTTGTATCGACTCATGTCGGAAAGAAAACCAACCAACCAGAGGGCATGCACCTTAGTAGCTCCAAACGGTCAATACCTCACTAGTCTGGAGATGACTGAAACATTCAGTTTAGCCTTCGCCAAACAGTTAATTAGCAATGTGGGTATTACTGGTACTGACTAAAATGGTGGCACTACTACTTCACCGTAGGCAAACCTAATGGCTACTCCCCAAAATAAACACGGCAAAAATGCTAGGGAAACAACAGAGACTCACATCAGGAAGGTCTCCTGGTTGTGACAACATCAGGCCATCTGTTTTGAAACAATGCCCCGAAGCTCTTCGTAGGCCCTTGTTCCACCACTGAATGGATTCAGGGAAACTGCCAAAGGAGTTGAATAGAGCCATCCTTACCCACTTTTTCAAGAGTGAGGACAGGGTAAATGCCACCAGTTATAGACCAGTAGCGCTACTCCCATTTGTAACAAAAGTACTTGGTGGTATAATTGATGAAAGGAGGGAGGGTGGCGCATGCTGATCAGTAGATATGGTGGTGGTCACTAAGGTGAATCGCCCCATTCTGCAGGAACAGCAATATGCAATTTGGCGGCTCGAGATTTCTATGAGGACTTGAATCTTTATCTTGAAAAAGATAATAATGATCGCTTAGACAGATAGTGCTTCTACCTTTAAACATATACCATTCGGTCAGCCTATTGCTGAGATGCGACCACGTGGGCTCTGCACAGATTTATGGGGCATCTTATAAATTGACATGCTTTCCTTTGTCGTATCTTCGAATATCACTCAACAATGTCTCATCTCATTCATTTTCTAATAACGTCTTCACTTGCTCATTATATTCCATTAAACCTAACATTTTACAGCTCTTTATGAATTTGATTCGACTTATTTTATTCCTATTCCCTATAGGGTACGGTTGTGCACCAAATATACAAAAAGGTATGAAATAAAAACAACCGGCTTGTGGATAATTGTATTAAAACCAAAGGTGGACATCACGACAGTGATACCTATATGGGTCGCATTGTACATTGCAAATGAACTCTGTCAGCCTAGGGATTATAGTCTCCCATTGTATTTCCTTTATGAATGCATCTATCAATGACACATTGCACTTGCCTATTTCATTACACTTGAATGATTCACCTTAGCACCTTTACTTTTCTAAAACAGCTTACTATCCCTGGTAAACGTTGTACTTACCTCAATATTAGTTGGTTATCGTATGCCTACAACTACGGGTTGAAAACAAAACGAAGTCGATTTTCCCGCGCGACCTGGAGGACTACTGTTCAATACAATAATCATACGGCCTGGGTCAGCCAATGAGTGTATTTATATATATGTCAAATATTTAGCTGTTCAAACATTGTTAACTTGTAGACAATCTACTATTTGACATTATGCCATACTTGATCGTGCCTGTAAAAATGGCATGCATTTTCATGTAAATTTATGTTTATATGATAATATACATGATTATAATTATTATTATGACAACTAAATTCATCGTTTTACTTCTTTACATTCTCTCCCGTCTGACTCCCTTGACAACTTCAACTACTACACTTACACTTATTATTATTATTGCTGATATTATATATACGTATATCAACTTCAAATGTGATAAGCTGCCTATTTTTACGTTTTCTTCATCTCTTTTTCTGTCTTTTAGTCGGAATAACCTACACTAATTATATCTATTATTATTGTTATTATTATTATAACCTTTTTTATTTGACGACGATACCATAGGACTACCTGGTGAAAGGATCAACTCCACTCACAGTGTCAAAAGTCTTAACACACTACATACTGCGAAAAACATATAATTAATCCCAACACTACTCCTTTTGGAGTCAGCCAAAGCCACGACAGTCTAGTGGCGGCAGGAATTACGCAGAAGTTTACCGAAGATCAAGAACCTTTACATACAATCAATAAGTGAGCACAAAGAAATCAAATTGATTTATACTAGCTTGCAAAAACAATATTGGAAATTTGTTGAAAAATTGTCTCTTTGATCACAAGATTTGTTTGTACAGCTTGACGATGTTCAAACATCCACGGTATTTGAACTCTGCGTTACCCTTTCTCATGTTTTTGTCGACACTGATATTAAGGTATCTGAAATCTTCCTTAGTGCCAGTTCTGATGATTACAGTCTGGCTGAACACAAATATGTGATACTTTCTTATTGTTCAAAGAGAGATAATTGAAGTTCTGGCTGGAACGCTTGTCGATAGGTTCAAATTTTATGTGTAGTATGAAAGTAAATAGTTTCTGAGAATGCGGAGTGCCTTACAGCAAACAAATAGCTGATTTTACCCATATATATATGTAACACCCTAAAATGATTTTTAACAGGAAAAGTTTTTCATGTACTTTTGATTATATAATCCACATGGAGCAAATTTTCAAAAAATTAAGTAGGATATGTAAACTGGCGTTATCCAGCCGCTTATCAAGTAGTCACTCAGGCTGTTATGACTCATATGTGTGGTCACAGCAGTCCTCACAGTCGCCTTTGGAAAGTGCTGGATTCATTTCATACACCACTTTTTGGGAAGGTGGCCTAACATAATGCGACACTTTCCAGACTTTAATAACAGCCGGGAACATTAAATAAGATAGTCCCATTGTCAGCAGCATCGTGTTGTAATATGGTAATTAGGAAAGAAGGCCTAAAATAATAACTTGTAGCTCACCAGTGTTCATTGGTTGCCTAGATGATAAAACACCTATAAACCTTATTGTCTTCCTTTCTGTTTTCAAATCATCCCATTAAATAGTTACAAAACCTTCGTTGGCTTCCAGAGAATACATAGTCGCAACACTAATAATCTGGTTATTAACCTTCGGGGATAGCTGTTTAAACGTATAGCCATGGATAATGTGCTCATACACTTAGAATGGTCAGTCTTGCACTGAATAGTGATCCCACATTATATCAATCTTGTCTGTTGCAACTCAATGGAGGTAAAGAGGTTACATACCCTTATACTACAACTTATGAATTCCCTTAGAAGATGCGTAGTACTATTTACATCATCATGACTTCAAAACGTGACAGTTATGCGAGTGAGAGGTATGCAAATATTTGCTTCGCTTGTTACACAGGAAATATGGTCGTTTAGTCTCAACTAACAACAATGCTGGGATGGAGGCAGCAGTGTGCACACCTACAGTCAAAAATGTAGTATGTAGGATGAAGCTGATTGGAATACACAACTTACGCGCAACCTAGGATTTCGAATGTTTCTCACTATTTTAAGCCGTATAGTACTAACTTTGCTCAGCCTAGTATTAAAATGTTTTTCCAAATAATGAATACTTTTTGCCTAGATGTCGGAATTTCCCAAAGTGATCTTGTGTCCTGGGACTCAAAAGCCTAAGGAACACGAGCGTGTTGTTGTAAACATATCTATTGTAGTTGACGATAATACAATACTTCGAAATCAGAAAATTACGTTCGATGTTGGACATGCAGAAGATTTCGGTGTAATGAAAGTTGTTGACGAAATTGTAAAGGAAATGGGTTGTGGTGAACAGTGTGACGTGTCTCTTACTCATGACTACAGTTTCACGGATTTGGAAAAAGAGTTTCTGAAGATAAATGACTCATTCACACATAAAGTATTATTCAGTGTACATCTCCAAGATATTCAGAAGGTAAGCTGAAGGAAATGTTATTTTCGCTAGTAGCTTGCAGAGTTTTGGCAGATGTCTGAAAGTGAAAAATTCGCCGTGGCTGATGTAATGAAACGTCGTGGAAATAAACTTTTAAAGGTTAGTTGTCAGTATCAGTAAAATGATTTAACCATTTGTCAACTGGCTTCCCAACTCTCCAGTTATTGCAATCATAAGCTTTTGTGCGTCATAAATTGCAACAAGCCCGTGTTTCTTTTCCAAACCTCCTGTCAAGTGACATGTACCAGACCTCCAAAATTTTTTGTCTTGTGGTCAGTTTGGCAATTACAAACAACAGTGGTTCCCAAATAGTGCGTTATGTCATCAGTTAGTCAACAAAATATTCGGTAATTATACTTGTACAGACAAAAGTCCATTCTTTGTCGAATTAGCCAATGGCATTTGAGAAGTTATATTTATTCATTCTACCAGCTGGCCTACCCTATCCTCTAAAGGCAAAAATGAAGTCCTGATTTGGCATCCATGTTTCGTTTCATTATGGCTAGTTAGGGACTAAGAACTGTCATGAAGCTGCAAGACACGGTTTTAAAGAAACTCAACTTCGGAGTCAACCTATACCGTCGGTCGGTATACGTCAAAGAAAACCTCTAATTATCCTGAAAAATTTACTTAAGGTAGTGTAAAAGAATAATCTGGTAAATTTGGCGAAACACAAAGATTTTTGAGTGTTCTCTGAAATTTTAGATGGGGATGATCATTCGAGCATTCAACTGCTACAAAAGAGCGATTAAGATATTAGATGGGAGTGTTAGCGTGACTGATCCTAATTATCGCCATGATTCAGACATACTTGGTCTTCAACCATGTGATCTTAGCCCACGTCAATTGTTGGCTGTTTCTTTGTCGAACGCAGCCCTGTGTTTAATGAAACTTGGCACCGAACGCAATTACAGTCTGAAGAAATCACAATCAAATTTCCTTACAACAGCCATCAAATGTTGCGAACGGGCTATTGAACTTGAACCAAAATATGTGAAGGCTTGGTTTCGTATGGCTAAGGTCAGTATTTTTAATTCTTTCCTGCACATGTCTGTTTCATTAAAAATATTCATCATTGTATTTCTTGTTTATTAGTCCTTAGGTATAGTTACAAGTATTCTGAATGGTTTACTACAATGATTATGTGTATACTACCACTTAACTTAAGGATGTCTATGACGATAATCTGGTGAAGTTAAACTGAATCAAGTTAGTCGTTCCCTAAAACGTAGCTTACTTAGTTGGCAGTAAGATAAAGCAGCTACTGCCATCATGACAGTAGTAGTACTACTAATCTTAACTCCCTGAATGAGATATAAGCACCGTCCCTAACTGAAGTTACATATGCTATCTGTGGTTTAAAACGAGGCAAAGCAGCAGGACCTGATGGAATGACTGCAGGGGTATTTAAGTACGGTGGAGGCAGTTTAATGTCTGCGTTAACTGAGGCACTAGGAAGCGTCTGGGAATCAGAGAAAGTCCCGTTGGGTTGATGTAAGTCATTGATTATCCCGATATACAAAAAGGAAGACAAGTCTTCCTGTGATAATCACAAGGGGATTATCTTGACTAATATGGTATCTAAACTTCTAGACTCAATAATAATGCGTACACTAAGCAGTGCTCAGGGGGAACAAACACGGGAGGCTTTAGACCAGGAAGAGGGTGTATTGCTCATATCTTCACCCTTCGACAGATTCTGGAACATAGGCATCCTTACCGGTGTCCAACAATCGTTATATTTCTTGACCTAAAGGCGGCATTCGATTCTGTCGGTCGAGAGGTACTCTGGCGATGTTTGGTTGTAAAAAGAATGCACTGATCAAGACACTACTCGAACTCATGCAGCCAGGTGAGAGCTTACGGCGAGTTGTCATCTTAACTGGTGACAACTAGGGGTGTCCGACAGGAATGCCCACTATCCCCATTTATATTTAATTTCATTCTAGATGTACTAATAGACTTAACCCTAACTGACTTCAACGACTCAGGGATTGACTTGTTACCAGGGAATAACCTCGCAGACTTAAAATATGCAGATGATATAGTCCTCTTAGGTGAAGACGCTGACAAAGTGCAGTCTTCTGAACACTTTGAGCTGCAATCTTCGTATGTTTGGCATGCAATTCGCTCCCGTCAAATGTGAGATGAGGCTACAGGATGGACTACATCGACTCATTCCTAGCTTAAAGATAGGGAGTGAAGTGGTGGAGTGTGTTGACCACTTCACTGAGTAGGGAAGTTGCATCAGACCCAGAGAACTAGTCGCTGGTGAAATCTCAGCACGGATACAGAAGGCTCGTTTAGCACACACCATCTCTGGCGTAGACGTCATATCCGGCTGTCGACCAAAGGATGCGCGTAGTGCTCAGCAGTTCGCTCTCTACTCCTTTATGGCTGTGAAACATGGCCATTGAAAGTGGGAGAAATGAAAACGCTATCTGTCTTTGATCATAGGTGCTTACGTTCTATCTTCCGGGTCAGATGTCATAATTGGGTGCGTAATATTGGGGTTAGACGTCGAGCGTTAGGTAAGAAGGGGAAATTAATCGACAAAAATCTGAAGTTAGGATATGCGTTACGCATGCCTAGCCATCGCCTTCCTCGACCGATGGACAATGTTATTTGACATCAGATCAGATTGGAAAAGAGCTAGTGGTGGTCACACCAAAACATGGCTTCATCAGTGAATGAAATCTACACAGTTAGTTCGGGATGGTAAAAACGAATGACTGGAGACAATTGGTGATATGGCTCAAAACCGTTCTTGATGGCGCAGATGCATCCACTCTTTTGATTTATCATATCCAAAAAAGTCTGCTATTCTTCCATATTGCTCTTCTTTTTACCTGAAATTTGTGTCTGTTATCTCTCTTTTGAACCTCTGTTTACTACTTTCTCTTGCTTTGTGTGCCACATGAAGTGTGGCAAGTGGAACTGCTGCACATCTGTGCAAAGTTTTATGGTGAAACCAGTCAGTCAGTTAGACTTATCTTAACCCTACACATGGCGTTTAGAAGAACACTGTACTATTACAGAGATGGAACTAATTGATTTTGTATACCATGGACAACTTATTTCCGAACTAACCTAAAGAAGGATGACGTTATATCTAAATATAACTGAAGCCTATCAACAGCAAATCAAAACCCTTACCGCATCTTTGTTTTCAGACTCACGCCGTCTTAGGCAATTATGAAGAGGCTATTGCTGCTGGAGAGAAATACCTTTCTTGCCTTGAGGATGAGAGCAGCTGCCAATCGAAGTGGATGGGTATTGATGAAGTAACGAAAACCCATGCCAGTAAACAGATGAAGAAGTCACTTTCAGAATGGCGTACTTCACTAACTAATGAAGAAACAGCTGAAAGGGCAACTGTTCGAAAAAGGACAGTCCAGTGGTATTCATCTCTCGGAGATATGTATGTAAGTTTTCATACACTGTTTTCGGTTATGTTGCTATTTTTCCTGTGATTCTCCTTTCACTCATGCAAACAGTAATAGTGTATCGTAGATAATGCAAAAAGGTGGACTGTTGCGTAGACCCCTATTCTACATATATTCTGTTATTTTCTTCACATTAGTGCATACTAGCTATCATTCTTCAACTCAGCATAGTAAGCCAGTTACCAGAAAACCAAAACAGTATAAGTAACAATTCTCAATCGCAAAATCAAATTTTAATTTTGGTGATCTTAGCATAAGTGCACTGCATCTCTTTAAGTAAGTTAGTATCTGTCATCCGAAGCTTGCATTTATTAGACAGTTAATTTGTATTACGTACCATTTGCAATCAAAAAGTTGATAAATATTTTTACAATTCTTTGATTATGAAAGCTTTACCATCACTTATGTACATGTAATATCGTATTATCGAGTCATTTGATAATGTCCTTCTTTTAAAAGTATGATGAATGGGATGAAATCGAAAAACTGCCGATTTCCGTTTGGTCGAATGATCTAGCACAGAATATGATGTCACTGCATGAAGAGCTTGAAGCGTTTGGAGAGAAAATGCCCGAGTTCAAAGGTTCCAGAACAAAGGGCAAAAGTCGATTGGCACCCATTCAAAGTGAAGACACTGATGCTGAAGACTGTCAGCAAAATGATATGTAAATATTCATCAAGATATGAGTACACAAGTCAGTCATCAGAAGGAAGCAGAGCCTAACACGTATTTGCGGAGAATTCAACGGGAATACTGACACAGTGAATATTACGCTATTGTAAAGTAGTTATGTACAGATGTTCTTCATTGTTATAAAATTATTTACTTTGTACAGGAAAAATACATTCACATATAAAAGCTTTGATTGGTTTGTTACTTTAATTATTCGCTAGTTAGACGTTTGAATTGAAGTGTAGGGTACTGACTTTTCATTTTCATGTAAGGTTTCAAAACATCAGGAATAACAACCTGTCTATCCTAAAATATAGTTTTAAAAAAAAAGCAATAAGAACAGAACATTTCAAATCCTGTGCATAACAGTAAAGACGTAACAATAAAATGAAAAACATGACAAACTGCTACAATTGTTGATCTTAAACAGTCTAAAAGTTTAAGTGAGTGTTTAGTAGATTACATATAATTGTGATTCCACACATTACGATTGATAGTCAACAAAAGTAGTATGTAGAAACAGAGCAATACACAGATTTCACTTTGCAACGCCTAGTTTTTTTTTCACCAGTAGTAATATTTTTACTGACCGAATTCTGCATCCCGTTAGTTGAAGTTTTTTTCGTTTCGATACCAAGTGGAACATAGGACTTCAACAACACATACATCTCCACTTTGTCCTATTCTCTGCGGTCCTCTTAAGCTGGCTACACTGTTGCCCATAGTTTCTCATCTCCTCCTCGCATGATTTCCTCTATATCACGCTCGGACGCCCAACTCGTAGTTTCCCATTAGGGTTCCACTCGAGTGATGGTCTGGCGCGCGATGTTGTTCGACAGTCTCCTCAGCGTGAGCTCGATCCATCTCCACTTTCTCGTGCGTACTTGTTGGGTACGGCAGCAGTAGTAACAAGAATAACTTTTTAAATTAGAATTTTCTTAACGACATTAGAAAAATAAGAAGCATCACTATTCAAAGTTATTAGTATCTAACAGATGGTTACGTGAAACTACTAGTGTAACGGTAGAAGAAAAGAGGTGGCTTTAATGCTGCCACCGTTGTTCTCAACAGATGTCTGGTCACCGATATCCATGGGTTGTGCAGCGTTAACCAGTTGTAGTTGCTGAGAAACGTGGTCTGGGACACTCGACGAACTGGGACGTCAATAATTGTGACTCTGACCCTTCAACTGATGTGGGGAGTGCGCGACATAGTAGATTCATAAGCTTTACCGGCGACGCTAACGGGTCTCCGTCCAACCCAAGCTTCGCGACACGCAACTGCTGCATTGCCAGCTGTCGGGCTGATGAACTTCAGCGTCAGTCAACACTTCTTAAATCTCTTTCTCGTCTGATCGCTCCACAATGTCGTACACCGCCTTTGTTCGGCCTCTCAGCAGCGTCCCCAGCACAACAGCCTACGCCAATGGATCCTTGACGCCCGCCAATTCAGCGACGAAGTCCCACAAGAAGCTCCTGATGTCTTCGAAAGCAGCAGGTCATGTGCTCTTCACTGTCTAGAGGCAATGACACCAAAAGTAACGGTAAAAGATAAGAGATTTGGTAAAGGAATGTTTATTTGGAGTTTGGTATCTCTACATAGGGAAATTATGTCCACCTTATATGAAAATCGTCACTTGCACAGATCTTCGGTGGTGTACTACTTCTTCTCTTTATGCCTCCCATGCTTTGCCGCAATACTGGTTCATTCCTCTTTTTTACGTCAAATCTGCTTTTTCGCTACTTGATATTTTTGTGCCAATGAACGTTTCTTCATATACTACTGATAAGTCTCGTCAAAAGCACACGCCACACTAGCATTTAGCTTATTCATTCTGCACATAATATTGATAAATTAATACACTATGTCATCATGTTGACAAGTACTACTCATTAATGACTGACACTGTTACTTACCTTGGTTTGATGGGTCTCTATTAGAGCTTTCATGATACGTGGAATTGCACAGGCGGTCCCATTTAACTGAAAAGAAGTCACAGAGTTAACTAAGATACGAATCAAAAATTTTTTACAAATAAGTTACCTTGCCATCTTCATTATGGCCTATATACAATCGTTAAAATATAAAAATACAGAGACTTAATTCTCTTCAGGTAAAATGTGTGATAGCAGCTTTTGCTTTCAGATTGTTCTGAAGGTTTAGGAACATAGGAAGCATCAAAACGACTTGAAACTGAAATAATCTAAAGTTATCGTGGTTCACTAGCATTTATGATGGCTGCTTTTAAGTACATTACATTTTAAAAAGCAATAGTTACACATGACAATATTACACTAATATTCACATAATGGTGACTTTCACCATGATGATCACGAATTTATCTAATAGCTAATAATAATATAATAGCAGTTCCTTGCCAGTATAAGAGTCAACTAATAATCCACTGCAACCACATAAACTAAAATATATTTGGAAATTGAAGGCACTCACGGTATAGGCGAATTCATTTTGATTTTCACATGTTTGCCATCGAATATTTAAACGTTTCGACTGGTAATCTAAGCAGTTTGATGCACTAGAAATCTAAATATAATATAAAGTTAACGAAATCTAGTGGGTTTATATAAAGAAAAAAAAACAAACAAAAAGAGATTCATCAAATACAAGGGTTCTGACTTTTTTCCCTAAATAAGCTAAAGACGTTGACCAGCATTAAATGAATCGCCGTCTAGTGTGTTACATTCAAGTCCACATCTTATAAAATTAGTAATTGAAGTTTGAAAGAAAACTGGGGTAGCTAATGCGTCGAAATTAACAGCTAAATGAACCTACTTACCACTTCATACACTTATATTAATAGCTGAAAATACTGTGGTCTTTTATAGTGAATGAAGTAGATATATCTATTCGTATTTTATCAAAATGACGAATACATTTTCATGTTTTCCCTTCCCAATGGAAAAATCGAATAGATAAAAGATTTTTGGTCAACCGATAGAGACTATCTAACATAATCTTTTGATCAGTACGCTGTTGCTTATGTGAAATTGTTGCATAACTTAAGCTGAAAGAGGACTTGACTTCGACAAATAAGTTCTAAACACCTGTTTTAATTACTAAAGCAATGCTATAATGACGAAAGCGGACTTCGCCTTTATTTCCGCATCCATGAACAAAAGCTAAGATTCAAAAACATGACATATATTCCTTCATATCGTCACAAGTGGTCAATTATCAACATCGATCAGACTGCCTGTCTGTATTCGACATAGGACTTTGGACCGATGTGCGGTAGTTCAAGTCGCCACACTCCATGTAGCACACAAAGCAAGAGAAGAAATGCATAATATAGACAGTAAACAGAGGTGAGAGACAAGGGAATAGTAGTAACGAAGAACAATATAGTTTCATTGGAAATCATAAGTCACAAGGAGTGGATGCATCTACGCCATTGAGAATGATTTTGAGCCATATCGGACTGGGAACAAGTAAATATTTCAAACAGTGGAAACACGAAGAATACCACAGAATTTGTAAAAAACTGATTTAAAGATGAAACTTATCAATTAAGAACAAGTCAAAAGAACAAAATGATCCAAACTAATTCTGAAATGAATTTTTAGCGTTGAACTTCGCACCAAAGTGTAGCACTTCAAGTTACAAGACTTCAACATAGCACAAGTTGGCAAAACAGCAAAGTGCCCATATTAAACGGAAATATGCGGAAAACATAACCGGAAAATAATGAATCTGGAAGCTTCAAAAGGAGTGGACACGATTGCGCTACTGAGTCATGATACTAATAGGCTGCAGTGATTCGTTCCTAGCTTCTTGACGACCCCCGTGCAAGTAGCCTACACCTCCCTACCTGGGGCTCCACGGATTGATCCCATGTTTTAGACAGATTACCCCTAAGTATTTCATTCAGGAAGACGGTTGTTTCATTCCGGATAACTCCACAAGCTCGCTTTATGTCTTGAAGGAGACTACAAGCTTGAAAAATAAACCATTCTTCTCATAACACAAGGCCAAAAATGTCTTACGTTTCACTTGGAAATCCACAGTATACCATTAGTTTGATAAAGCTAACAACTCACCTCACCGTACATTTGATCGCCAGGCATCCAAGCTTCAATATCAACTTTCCTGCATGCTGAATCACCAAGTTCTTCGGATGGCATTTCAAGAACTCTATGTTAGTAAAAAGAACTTTTTTATTAAGATGAACGTATATTATTATTATTATTATTATATTATTTGGTATTAGTGTGGATGTTTTGATTTACAGAAGTTTGAAATTTCAAAATCACAATGCTATTAGAAGTTTTTACGAAAACACCTCTTTACTAACTGAGATCTTAAATTTTTCTCTTAAATAACCTCATTTGGAAGCTTATAAAGCTGTTAGTAGTCTATTAAATGATGATATTTCAGTGAAAACGACATCATACAATGCTAAATATCGCAAATTAGTAGCATTTAGAATTCATAATTTATTGAATTCCATCTCAGTAGCTGAATGGTCAGTGGGATTGTCTAGAAACCAGGAGGTCCTAGGTTCGACCTCCGATGTGACCACAGGTGCACACTCCTGAATTAGGACGAAACAGTTGTTCAGTACCCCACGGTTTTTAAAGATTCTCAAAATGATGTGAATTGGTGATGTATTCTGCAGCAAAAATTCTTATTCATTTAGTTACTGTTTCGTCGAGCTAGTTAATTTCAGCTAAAGTATTCACATTTCGGCATTGTGAGTATATATCATAAATTAGTCAGAAGTTTTAGAGTAGTATATAGCTAACTGTATTTGTTTAGAATTCAATGTTTATAATTAACCTACCTAAAATGTAAACCCAAATCAGCAAACAGGCAGATTTGTAATTTAATAATTCGATCAAACATTGCATCACTGATTGACAATACAGGTGCAGTAACGCAAAACATTTCCACCTGTAAATTAATGAATAAAAAAGAGTATTTATTATTTTTTTTCTAAGCAACTAGAAAATGAGGAATAAATATTTCATCACAAATAATTTAATGCAATAAATACAGCAGGCAAGTTTTATTCACTTTTGGAATGTACACAGTTAAAAATTATTTCAAAACCAACAATCTAGAAGTTCTTGTCTTCTCATTAACTACTTGAAGAAACTATCTGTCAGATGTACGTTCAGTATTCGCATTCAATGAACAATTCTACTTACAGAAGGATAGTGTGGCTGTAGTGTCTCCGTTAGGTTCACCCTTAACTTGAAAATGACATGCTTGATCCTTTGATTAGTCAGTTTTACCTCTACAAGAGATACACAGACGATACTTTTTATAATTTGTGATGAAAAATTTGATCTAGACGATCTCCTCACAACTTTCAACGCAGCACACTCATCAATAAATATCAACCTAGAACGTGGATTCAACATGCCGTTTCTCTTCCTGGATGTACTACTTACTAGAAGACAAGATTGCTCGATCCAAAGATCAATATACCGCAAACCAACATTGGCTGGATAGCTTATTAACTTCTAGAGCTACGTTCCAATGATCAGAACATAGCATTAGACAGAATATTCCCTCCTTTTATTCACTTTCTGAATACGTTTCAACGTTCAGCCTAAGCAGTTGGGGACGCAGTTTTACACCATGCCCCTTTTCACGGTACAAACTGTCACTCACAATCAATTGTTCGGATTTTAGAAATATCCGCAGGATAAATATTACCCAGTCCATTGACCAGTCAAAGCTCCTAATTTACTCACAATAAAAACAATAAGAGCGAACAGTTATCCTCCAAAAATTCGTCTTCAGCTTCTACAATTATAAATCCATTAATTTAAGCATACAATAGTCAGTAAAGGCAAATTAGAATCATATCAGAAATGTATCGTGGAACAAGTATAAGATGGGATGGAGCAATGGTCAGCTAGGTACAGGTTTCAAGGGTGAGTTTAAGAAATGGTGTGTGAGACAATATGAATGCTACAAAAAATAAACCAACGAATGGGATAGACTAGACATAAGTTCGAGGGTGATCAATAACAATAATAATGATTATGAAGTAACAACGGTGATGTGGTGTAAACTAAAAAGTACTATTAGTGAACCAATATCAAATAATAATGAATTTAGTGAAGTGAAATGAACAGGATTTTGTAAATACGATAACAAATTGGAAAAGCGTTACTTAAACCTAAGGTAATGGAAATCATAAGAAAAAACATAAAGTTATAAAAAGTCAGAAATGAACGTTTGTTAATGAAAAAAAGAGAAAGCAGAAGAAAAGGAAAGAAATTGCGACAGGAATTTAAATTGTTTATGGAGGATTTGTTGGCCTTATTGTAGGCCAAGGTAAAACATAGTGGCTGGACATACTTCTTCTGTACGCAAAGACTCGGTCTTCAAGAATTGATTGTTACCACTTCAGCTACTGATAGAAGACGTAATCGGGCTTCTCTAGATAGATTACCATGAACGTGGTAGATAACCGAGAACCCATGCTCTGGCTTTATTGAGTGCCCAATATCCATCAAGTGGGATAAGACTGCATTACTTACGCCTCTGGTAACCCCTTTAGTCAACCATACAGATATATGTTCACGTGTGCGCAAAGATAAAGCCCTCTGAGTACGGCCAATGTAGCTGTCTCCACATGAGCAGTTGAATTCATAGATACGCATTGATGAGGCCATCTTTGGTAATTTATCCTTGGCTTGTTGTGTGAGTACTGGTTTAGTGGAGCACCTCCCTAACATTCTACATCGAAGTGGTTGGTGAAGGCATTGGAACCTTTATATCATGAACTAGTGAAATTCAGTGTTGATGACACGTATTTAGCTTTGTAGAAACGGCCCAAAACCTGAACGTAAACGGAAAGAAAATGATGTCACTGGACGTAGTGTCATTATACACCAGCATTCCGTTGCTCGAAACAGTCAACTACTGTGACCAACTGACAGAGAGAAAGAAAGATGTAGGAATCCCATCAAAAAAAGTCAAGGAATTACTATTGCAATGCATGATGAATGTCCACTTTATGTTCAAAAATGGTTTTTATAGACAAGATGATGGTGTTGCGATGGGCTCACATCTTGGCCCTATGCTAGCGGATATTTTCCTGGCAAAGCTTGAAAATGGTCCACTTAAAGACACAACTAAGGGGCTTGGCTATTATTGTCGACACAAAGATGATACCTTTCGCTGTTCACTTTCTAGACAGCCATTATATAATGTAGTTCTGTTTCATCTCTCAGTAAATATTTGTAACACATAATAAGAGTAACAAGTTGAGTTATGACATCAGATCTTTGCTCTTCTTTGGATTCATATAAGTTAATCATTTAGACAATTAATTAGTGAGAGCGTATTTCTTCAACCATCACATATGTATAAAGCCAACTTACGGTAATTAAGTAAAAATGGTATCGAGTCTAACTGTTAAAAACTTAAACAACGTGATCACATGCGCTAGGAATCGAACAGTTTTTGTTATTCTACTACTGATGACTGTTAACTGTGAGGATTTAATATATCATCTAGTGGTTTTCAAGTTGTAATCAAAGTATAAGAAATACAATAAGTAGAAACAAGTCAGTTTTTAATCAGCAATGTGACATGATGTGAAACGATTTAAATTATGAACAATCTACTATTTTATTTTGTAATTTAAAAGTTCATGTATGTAAACAACTGATATTGAAACGACATAAAAGTTGCTCCATGTACTTACTTTGGTAAACTGATGTACTCTATATAGTGTCGGTTCTTGTTGAGGTGCTTCTTTACGAAAACATCGACTGACAGCACACAGACCAAGAGCAGATATCTGACTTGACTTATCTGATTCATTATTTTTAGATGTAGGACAATTGAAGGATCGACCAGCACAAAATCCAGCCAGTGACATTTCAGATGTTCCAGAGAGACAATAGGTTAAATTAGACAGTGGGGGAGTTATTTTGTACACCTATAACAAAAAATTATGAAGTGTTTGTCAGTAAACTGGAAACATTGATATGTTGAATATGAGCCAAGCTGAATTTCCAACGTAACAGTTTGCACATAAATACAGAAGTCCAAGTCACTACAGTGCATAAAAGCAGAGAAAGGTAGAAAAACAGCAAAGAACCTATAATAAATGTAGATATGCTGCTAAAAGAGTAATGAGGATACAATGAATCTGGAGGATCACAAGGAGTGAATACATCTATACTGTGGCGTGTACTACTGATAAGATTAATCGGTAGTATATAAAGAGACGTTCATGGGCATAATAACATCAAATAGTAGGGAGATAGATTTTATGTCAGAGAAAGCAAATGTTACAGCGTTGCGGCAATACATGGGAGACGTAAAAGAAATACACAAAAAACACAATATGAAGGACAGAAATAGCACAACACGGAAGATTTGAACAAATGGTGCGTTGAATATAAGGTATACATAATTTTGCAGTTCCAATACTACTGAGAATTATTCTGAGCCACGACATCGATGATCGCCGACCGTAAGAGACTAGCACAGAGCATCCTTACTTCAGCATTGAGATCGCCTGATAAAATGACTATATCTGGGGCCTTTCGTTTATGAAGCAAGCTAAACAACATTCAGTAGAAGTCATCCTTTACTTCTTTTCAAACTCAATGGTTGGTAAATAAGTATAGATTATGAAGAGTCTTCGCGAGGTTCCACAATCTTTCCTTTTTTTTACGGATCCATTCAGTCAGACAACACACAATAAAATTCAACCAAGTAGCAAGTTTTCTGCCTTAGCGCTCAATGTTATTCCTATACCAGCAGGTTTATGTGAACTAACCAAAACATCGATTGACAATGCTGCAAGACCTCACTAATAAAAAAATAAAAAATACCAACGGAGACCTAAGACATCTCCACAAAAATTACATCTAGAGCCAGTGAATCACTTTGTGATGGAAAATAAATGTCTGGTCTGCAAATTCGTGACTAGGTCTGAGATAAGCCTAGTTTCCCCCAGTTTGTTTTCATCAAAGCTCCAGTTAGACCTTGTAGAGACTCCGGGATATAATAAACTGTGGTGACCAATGGTTACTTTAATAAAACTAAAACAGTCAAATGAGATCATATCTTACCCAATATGATTCCAGGCTATTTTGCGATGAGTGGAATTATGGTATTTTGCTAACACTCTATTAATTCTGAAATTTCTATCTATGAGATAAAATTGAAAAAGCCGTTTGTTAGTCACGTCTATATGCAATAAAACACACCAGGGGAATGCAGACTACAGATCCTCTTTACCATCTAATTACTCACTTCAGAAGCAGCTGTAATCCTAATTTGAACCTATACAATGGAACCCTAAGGTAATATGGTCTGCATGAATGCGCATTTGGTGATCGCTTAATCAGACAGTGTCCTTTTCATTCGGATACCTTTCTAGTATACGATTACTAATATTTCCTTGTTGTGTGGGATTTTGAAAGAAATTCTTTTTTCGAGGCGTTTGGCAATATTATCTGAATATTTAAATCTCCATCCACCTTGGTCGCACCCTAATGTTAATTTATGCAGTAAAGCTGCCATTTTTCGGTAGATCTCCCTTTTATGAGTTACAGACAGTGGATGAGTCAGCAAAAAACAACAAAAAGAGGGTAGTCTTCATCACAATTCTTCCTAACATTAACATCACCAGTGAACAAAACGCCCATGTGACTATCAACTGGGACTTGGTCTTACAGTGAAGCAAATTTACTCATGCCTCAAAGAGAGTGCACGTGTGTGCTGAGATATATCGGAGTCCCAGAAAATTCGGCGTGTTGAAAGAAGCTGAGTAACTCTAAGGTACCTGATATGCTGATTTCATGGACCAAATTCACTGGCGTGTGTTGTAAACAAGGTAGGTTGTGTAAATCTCTTAGTAACGACAGCTGAATATGTCCACCAGAGAATTAAAGCAAAAAACAAGGAGCTCA